AATTATATCATAAAAGTCTATCATCAAAGTCAATCATCAAAGTATATTATAAAAGTCTATCATCAAAGTCTATTATAAAACTCCATTATCAAAGTCAATTATCAAAGTTTATCATAAAAGTCTATCATCAAAGTCAATTATCAAAATCTAATATAAAAGTCTATCATCAAAGTGTATCTTCAGACTATCATCATTTTTTCATGAAAGTCTATAATCAAAGTATATCATCAAAGTCTATTATAAAACTAAATTATCAAAGTCAATCATCAAAGACTATTATCAGTCTTTCAGGAAAGTCTATAATCAAAGTATATCATCAAAGTGAATCATTAAAGTCTATTATAAAAGTCTATCATTATAGTCTATCATCTAATATATTATAACTGCCTAACGCCAAAGTTTATCCAGAAATATAGAAATTATTCCCTGGAAAATAAACATAATTCCTGTAAAAAAAAATCTAAAAATGTGTACTATATTCACTAGGTCTATTAAATCGGAAAAGTCATCCTCTACTGTATAAATCTAAACCGTACTAATCGAAGACTTTAAAATAGCATAAGAATAAACTGCACACAAAGATACTTTACTGTATATGTGCAAAGAAAAGATAATTTATGTATACAAAACAATTTTGTGTACTTGGTACGTTTTAAAATTACAAACCGCACTGATCGTATCCGTACTATGAGAATAATCATTTATGTATAAAACAATATATTGTACTATAAAAAATTCAGACTTATTGAAGGCGCACAATTTTCTCCATAAATTTTAAGAAATCATTGCTAGAAATAAAATGTTTCATACTAAAATAGAAAAATGATTGCATTATTGTGGATTTTATTATAATTAATAACTGTAACAATTTATACAGATTTAGTAATTATTATTTATTAATATATTAAAAAAATTCTATTTATTTATGTTTTGTGGTATAATTATTGTATTTGCTAATAATATATAATACGATATTTTTTTTTAATATGATAGTTATTTCAAATTTAGGATGCATAGACATAAACTAAATTTAATGATTGAAAATTAAATTAGGTTTAAAGTTTAATATTGTAATTACATTAAATAAGCAATACAAATTTAATTGAAATAATAATTCAATTTACGTTATGTTCGAATATAATAATTTCACTAATGTTTACTACAATTAAATAAAATACGTGTATCGATCGAACAGTACGCAACTAAAGCATTTTAACTCAATTACCGCTGATTTTCGATGATGCAAGTGTTTTCATTGGAGGCATGTGTTTATTATCGTTTTTTTGCCATCGTTAGTGAGGATTCAGCAAGTAATTAAACCATCCATAGAAAATCAATTCGCGAGTTTACACTCTTTTTTTTTACTCCCCGAAATTAAATATTACGAATTGGGGTCGAAGGTTTTTTTTTGATCAGTGGATGCCCCGGGTCCGTTCAATAGGTAAATGGGTTTCGGCCCTGCGAATTGACAGTTGATTGGCGTAAATTGTACGGCTGAAATACGTCCGATCTGAGGGGATGAGGGTTAGGGGGACGACGATGGTAATGCCATCATCTTTGTCCGGCCGAGCCCAAAACCTCCCGGTTCAATTTTCCGATTGACGTTTCCATTATTGGAAGGACGGCGCGTCGCAAACAACGGGTCCGGTGGATGAAAACAGAGAGAGAGAACAAAAAAGAGTTTTTGATGGTTTTAAAGTACCTGGAGCAGTTGGGGCAAAGTCTCTTTGCCGTACTCGTCGAGCATTCCGTTGGTGGCGTGCAGTTGCTGCACGTAGGCATTGTGCGAGTCGAAGTATGCACTCAAAGTGTCCGTCGAGGGAGATGTCAGGTACAGGAGGTATGCATTCTTGTACTCCTGTCGACACTAAAAAAATAAATACAAAAATTTAAATACAATCTGAAAAAGTTGCAATGTTAATATTATGAATTAAACTAATATTAGAACAACTATTAAACGAGAGCGGAAAGACTTAGGTATTAAGCTCTTTCATTATCTCTCAGCATATTTGAATATATTTGTTTCCCGAGATATTTTTCTTTTTGTTACCGGGATAAAACGCGAAACACAAATTATTATTGATAATATTCATTTGTTTTTCCGCCCTATTATAATTATTAGATACAAATTTTCTCACTGTTATATAATAACCTAAAATATATTAATATTAAAAAAATCAATGACGTTAAAAAAATATTATTAATTTATATTTAAAGTGTATTAGTTGTTTTTGGTTCTATATAAATTATGGTTGAGGAATGTTGAGCAAAAATTGAAACTTTGAAAATTACATTTTTCATTAAATCATTAAATGCAATATTTATGGATTTCCATGTATTATCTACATGAATTATTATATAACAAAAGTAAAGTTGTGAAATATATTTTAATTATGTTTTAATAAACATAGAAACATTGACTTAAAATTGGATTTCGTCGATTATCGTTTTTAAACTCTTAAAGAAATATTGTCATTAAATACAATTTAGGGATTTCTAAGTAGATTAAATTTAGAGTTATTTGTGTCTCATATCATGCATGTACAATTTACATTGAAAAGTCATTTTATAAATTTATGCATAATTAGATGAAAAATAAATTTTATTAACGTCTTTGCATAAAGCTTAAATAATTTATTTTGCCACGTGTACACATTTAAATACATGTATTTGATTATATTTAATTACTACTATTAATCAAATTATTTCTTTTAAATTTTATTTATGTCTTGTAGCATAATATATAAATTAATGTTGATAATATATATTTATGAAATTGTTTAATAGATCAAATGTGTATAATATCAATGACTACAAGAAACGAATCGAACAGATTTACAATTTATAAGCGTCAACTTGGGAATAAACTGTACTTTTCCAAGTGAACCATAAATTGGCAAAGGTTAGTCTTAGATCATGCGAAATAATTAGCGGTCCGTGTCGGATTAATGATCCCCCCAATAAATCCCACTCGACCACTTCAAGAGCTCAGCTCTAAAACCCCAAATTCCAGCGGTTAACCCAAAGCAGTAAATCTTCAGTCACTCGCAAAGCACCATAATATAACACTAAATGCATACTTTCACTAATTTCTCTTCAGTTTTGGCGATGATCGTCTCGTAGCTCTCCCGATGAGTAAACACCTTCCTGGACTGGATCTTCCTAAAGAAGGACTTCTCCAAGAGAGGCCTAGACACCTGCCTTCCTAGGATCGAAGCTATATCACCCAAAGCTTGCGAATCGATCTCAACTTCTTGGAGGAGCGTCTCCCAAGTGTGGAATAGAGAACTAGCACACGCAGGTCTGCAAAGAATTGGATGATGACTTTTGGAACTATTGTAATTAGAAAGTTTCACTCACCTTTCCTTTCGAAGTTCCCCATTTCTTTTCCTGAAGTTTGCGACGAGATGCTGCAGCTCGTCGGCGTGCTGCTCGTACATCTGGCTCAGCTGCTGAGTGAAGTCAGAAACTGGAAGAGAAAACAGAGCGTCAGACAAGAAGAGAAAGAAGAAAAAAATAGGGGAATTAAACGTGAATCATTAAACACTTTTCCATATTTAATTCATCCAAGTTTGCCGACAACTCGAGAAGAATTTTCGTCCGAACTTTTAATTGATTTGCTTGCTTGCTCTTAACTTTATTACAGACTCTATTTTGCATTGCAAAGCCGTTGCGAAATAAAATTGGAAAAAAAAAGAGGACGGTCTTTGTTGGCTTCGCCGGTACTGTGTGTTTATACCGGGTAAGGACTTCTCCTCACTTATTAAAACGGTTTACATTGGTACCATTAATAATGCAACGACTCCCCGGAGAGACTACCCTGAATTATATTCGCGTACGGCACAAATTAATAATACATCTCGCCGAAGAACGCTTTAGTTAGTGCTTTTTTTTATGAGGTGCAATGCGAACTCATCCCCTTTTCCTTTTAGTACTTAAAAAAATACAACTTTTAATTAACTTGCATAATTTTGTCAATTTTTTGAGGCAAATGCAAACTTTCTTGATTAGACTTATTACAATATTTATATGAAGTCGTAATTCAATTTCGCACCTTGCATACATTTGAACTCAATTCGACGTGTATAATTTATTTATGAAATCTCCCATGCATTTCTTTCAGGATCAAAGTAATAATGATAGGAATGTAAATACACCCAGTGTACACGCGGGATACAAATGTATCCTAGAATTCTTACTCCCATGCATTTCTTTCAATATCAAAGTAATAATGATATAATTTAGGAATGTAATTAATTGCAGTGCACGTGTGCACGCGTTCACATACCTGCAAACTTTCTTGAACCAGACTCCACATAATCTTAGTTTATATTGTGTAATGTTGCCGTATGAGAATGTATCAATTCCAAAACAAGTAAGAATTAAATATAGTTTTATTTTCGGCATTCCAGAATCCTGTAATTCGTATTTTTTTCTTTTATTTTTGCACTTTTTAATATATTCCTTATTATCTAAAATACTACTATAAGGCAAATAATTCATGTGGGATATAAACGTATCCCAACCGACAACCAACAAAACAAAATCAAGCACAAGAGTGTAATGTTGAAAATCAATGATTAAGGTCATTTATAAAAAAATTTCTTATTTAACCTAAAAATATATTTATTAAAATGTATTTTCTCTTTCTACAATATTTGTTGCAATTCGTATTTCAATTTACTTAGGTAATGATTTATTTAAAAAAAAATTATCAGGATAAAAAAAATTGATTTAATTTTAAAACGTAATTAAATCTCGACTTATGTTCGTAATTAAATGATCTAAGTACATACATTTCTGTCTGGATCAAAATAATAAAAAACAGATTTAATTTAAGAGTAATTATTTAAGTAATTAATGTTTTTTCCATTAATTGTAAACAGTTGAGAGGGATTCCACGTATATAATTTAGGATTTATTTCAGAATTAAAGTAAGAAAAAATAAAGACTGAATTAATTTATAAGCGTAATTATTAAGTAATTAAAAGTATTAATATCCTTTGATAAAACTCAATGAATATTTTTTTTAATTACAATAAAATTACTTAATACAATCATCTCTGTAGAATTCAGAAATCTCTGATAGGGTACTTTCTTTCCACGTTTTCGTTTTTATACGGTTAAAAAAAGATAATTATAATGATTAATGATGACAACTGTCATCAACTCGTGCAATACTTTTTTTATTTTATTGCTTTGTACTATGTATTTAATTAATAAAAGATTTTTTATCGTTTCAATTATTTACATGTTTTTACATTCAAAATGTTATAATTTTGATTTACACGTTCTTCTCGTGTTCTTCAGCGTGTTCTGGCTGTCGTGTAAAACGAGAGATAGATGTACCTTTTTTAGTAATTTAGTAATTCAATTCGTGTATAATTTATTTATAAAATCTTCCAAATATTTCTTCCAGCATTAAAGCAATAAAAATAGATTTAATTAATTATTGTAATTATTTAATTAACAAGAAAGTCTTTCCATGAACTAAACTAATTATAATAAATTTATATTCAATTACAGAGAAATTGCACAATTCAATAAAATGCCAAATGTGAACGTTCTTCATGAGACTTCTTACATTATTTATATGAGATAGTAATACAATTTCATACGTTGTATACAATCTAGGATCAAAGCAAAATAACTGATTTAAGCAATGATTATAATTATTTAAGTAATTATAATAACTTACGTTTTTCCATTAAATATAATGAACTAATTAAAATACATTTATATTCATGATGTAAAATTATCTTTCGGAAATGTGAAGTTTCTTCATCAGACTTCTTATATTATTATCTTATTATAAAAACATTTATGAATTTTCTCTCTAATAATGAAGATTTGATATTAATAGGTTTTGAAAATGTAGATGAAAAGGATGATAGACATTTATTGAATGCAGAAAATGGTTTTTCAGTTTCAGAAAATTTAGAACATACAAAGAAAATGACAAATTTAAAGAAGTTTTTGCCAAACAAAATGTTAACAACAAAACATTTAAAAATTGCTTAAATGACATTGAAAACGTTTTAATTTTTTATCCAAATTTAGGAAAAAGTTTTATCAGTGTTAAATGAAATAACTGCATATGGATAATTTTTAAATAAAAGAGAATAAATCACGAACAATTGTTTTTGAGTCATAAATTTTTTTTCTGGCCATAGTTTTTATTCCTCTGAAAACAAAGTAATTTCTTGGAACGCGCCCTTTTCGTTAATCGAGGTATAATTGTATTTATTTCATATCTATATAATTTAATAATAAAATCTTCCAAACATTTCATCCAAACAAAACTGATATAATTAACAAAAATACTAATTAATTAATTTAACTTTAATTCGAGAAAAATATATAATTTAGTTATTACATCTTCCTTTTGCTGCAAGAATCAACTTAATGAAGAGCTGATTTAATTAAGTTATCTTAGTTAAAAATACAGATTTATACTGTTAAAAATTAACATTGCAAGCTCTTAGACATGTATAATCAGCAGTGTTTTATTAACAAAGACGATATTAGCTACCCTAATTATTCGTTAATCGAAGTTTACAAATGTACGCTGTAAGGTGTTCGTTATCCAAATATATGTTTGTTATCTAAACATAAAAGTTTTTCGAGCAAGTGTCTGTTGTTCGATGTGTTCATATTCCGAATTGTTCGTTAACCGATTGCCTACTATGATTATGGCAGAAATACTTAGTTTAGTTATCGGTTAACGAACACAATCCATTGGAAGATAATTTTTGTTATCCAAATTGTTCGTTAACCGATTGCCTACTGTAATTATGGCAGAAATACTTAGTTTAGTGATCGGTTTACGAACATATTCCATTGGAAGACAATGTTTGCTATCCAAATTGTTCGTTAACCGAGATTTACTAATAGAAAATTATACAAATGCACTGTGAGATGTTCTTTCTCCGTATATTTTTTGTTGTCCGAATTTCGATCAAGTGCCCGTTGTCTGAACTGTTTGTTAACAGATTTCCCGGAAATTCTTAGTTCCAATCGTTAAACTAAGAATTTCCGGGAAATCTTATCAATATGTATTTGAATTTATTTTTTACTTTTGTATATATTTTACAATAAACGTTCTTATTAATATTAATTATAAAATTAACTTTTTAAAGATTTGTATAATTAAATGTTACATGTTAAATGAATTTCGACGAATCACGTTATTATTAAAAAAAAACTCATAAACAATATTTTTTCCAGGATCAAAGTAATGAAGAAATAATTTAATAAAAGCATTATTTTGTTACGCGCAAAAGTTTTAATTACTTCGCGCTGTTTACGATTGAAGTTCTACTCACAACGAACATTTCATTAAATATCCGATTTAATTCAACAAAAAATTATCAATTTACAAAAGTAAAAGCAATTTGCTATTAATAAACATTTTGAAATATTAAAATTTTGATTACGAACGTTCACAAATTATTTTTGCCGTTATTATTTTCAATGTTCCCATCTGATCCTTTGGATAATGCGAAAACCTCGTGGGCGTATATTTTTTATACACATTCGTGTTTCAATTTCGCGTTCGCGATTCCTCAGGGCCTCTGCTAATCTGGGGATTTTCTTGTATTTACACAACCGTGACATTTCCATTACATATGGATTACACTTTTTTTTATGCTAACAGAAAAAAAAAATCACGCAAAACATCCGCTTTTTATTATGCGTTTGAAGTTTTTTTATGTTGTTTTTTTTTTAATTGCTTTGCTTTCCATTTAAAAAAAAAACTGTACAGATGCAATTTTTTGCATATTAAATTTGAAGCGTTTTTATAAAATAACAATAGGAATAAAAATAACTACCATTATTTTATTTATTAGAATGTAATATTGCATACAATTATACAATTTATATCTAAAGTACGACTACATCAAAATTTGCATTTATTATAAATGGATATTTTTAATTTAAATTCAGCGGTTTTAGTCTACTTTTTTAAAATACCAGTTAGTAAATGAATAATATAATAATTCACAAAATTTATATTAAATACTCGAACTAGGGTAAATTACACCAAATGGGGTAAAATTATAATTCTTGGGAGTGATGAGGATGTTTATCAATAATAATATTGTAAAATTTGCAAAGTTGCAGGTATTCAGAAAGTTGCTACTTTTTGCAACAACCTACCTTTGCGTATATGGATTTTCCACTTGAACATATAAATAAAACAGATTAGATCCCGAAGACAGGTCTGTCTTATCCATTAGACACACTAGGTGCATAGGGCTCACTATTTTCGGAGCCCACAAAATACTTAAACGAAACAATTAAAGAATACATATTTTGTTTATAAGTTCTTAAGATGCTGACATCTTCTACTTAATATATAATGACCAAAATATGGAAATTTATTGATTTTCTAAACTATTATTTTTAATTTGTTAGAAAATTAGAATATTTTTTTATTTATTTTATGATTACATCATTGCATTT